TGGGACTTAGTTTGCGACAAGGCATGGTTGAGAGCTACGGGGGATTCGTTGTTCATGGTAGGAGTCATGCTTGGCTCAATGATTTTCGGTAGTTTGTCCGATAGGTTTGGGCGTAGACCAATTTTCTTCCTGTCTTTAGTCATACAGTTGGTCGGCGGTATACTAGTCGCAGTTTCACCCGAATATATTTCCTACGTTGTCTTCAGGTTAATAGTCGGCTCCACTACTAGTGGAGTCTTCCTGGTCGCCTACGTGATAGGTAAATTCTTACGAATTTCGTACACACTTAACAAGTCCCATATATTGTTCACTAGTATCATTTAATATTATAGCTTGATGTTATAATACTGACAATGAGAACGACAACGTTGCCTTTCAGCCTTGGAAATGGTAGGGCCAAAGAAGCGTTTGGTAGCTGGAGTCGGCTGCCAATTGTTCTTCACAACCGGGTATATTCTAACTGCCGCTTTCGCGTATTTTATAACCGATTGGAGAATGCTACAAATCGCTATCACTATACCTAGCATTGCGTTTCTTCTTTACTGGTGGTAAGACAAATATCTCTCTAATTCGAGACTTCCAGCCAAGGCAATACTTTCCTCACTCGTTTTTTTTTAAAAAAATATCTTTCTCCACGATCTTACGCAGGTTCATCCCCGAATCCGCGCGTTGGTTATTAACAAAAGGTCGTGTACAAGAAGCGAAGGATCTCCTTCAACGAGCCTCGTTGGAAAACGGTGTGGAAATACCAAGCGAAACTCTAGATACGCTTCTTAACAACAACAGCGAAGAAAGTACGCCAGATTATAAGAAGCCATCGTTATTCGATCTCTTCCGGTATCCAAACTTGAGACGAAAGAGTATTCTACTATTTTTCAATTGGTAATCTTTACCTTTATTTTCCTTCCAGTAGAACTTTTCAGTTCTTTTTTACATTGAATGTAATATCGTCATTCTCCTATTTATAGGCTTGTCAATAGCGGTACATATTACGGATTGTCCTGGCATGTATCCAACCTTGGTGGTAATGATTACGTTAATTTCGTCATTTCCGGATTTGTGGAAGTACCTGCATACACATTTCTAATTTTCACGTTGAACCGTTGGGGCAGGAAAATTATCTTATGCGGTTGTATGTTAGTAGCAGGATTTTCATTGCTTGCCATTTTGCTTGTACCCGCTGGTTAGTGGCCAAAAAGAAAGCAATATTATACTATTGTTTTGATTCTAGATGACTACTTAAATTTATATATATTCCCTAATTTATGAATATTTCCAGACGCTCAATGGCTCGTAGTATGTTTAGCAATGATTGGCAAGCTCACAATTACGTCATCCTATGGTGCTATTTACGTTTTTACTGCCGAACAATTCCCTACGGTTATTCGAAACGTTGGCCTCGGAGCGAGCTCGACTTTCGCTCGTATCGGTGGAGTAATTGCTCCGCACGTCATTCACTTGGTAATTTATATCATATTCATATCTTCTAATCATTCTTGTTGATTACACATTTATTGATTAATGGCAAATACTACTCTGTTTCTCGTAGTCTGAAATCTGGATGCCTTTGCCATTCGTTATTTTCGGTGCGTGTGTTCTCTTCGGTGGAGCTATGTCTTTGCTTCTTCCAGAAACGTTGAACAAAAAACTTCCAGAATCTATACAGGACGGCGAATTATTCGGAAAGTATGTTGACGTAGTGTACTTCCTCTTGATTGACACGAAACGAAATCAAAGGATCTTACTATCCTATTTCCATTGATTTTAGGAAACTGAAGAAGAAGAAGAAGAGAAAACAACAGCTGGATATAGAACAACTGAACGAAATCGATGTGATAAAACCACTGAAGCCGCAAGAAAACGGCGTTCATGAGAAACAGAATGGATGACGTTAATTTATATAACAATATAACATCGGTTATGCTCAAAGTATTTACTTCAATCCTCTCTGATTGTATTCTAGGCACACTTGTACACGTATCTTACGTGTACTAATTCCAGCGTGCCTATTCCAACATTACAGTACCGAAAAAAAAAAACGAAAAAAAGAAAAAACAAAAAAAAAAAGAAAAGAAACAAAACCACATTTGTCTTTCAAATTGTATCGCTGACGATGTATGTAGATTGCTTTTTTAATCGAATGAAATGAACACAATGAGCATGAAATCATGGGACAATAAGAAATTTATATTATAAGACTTTTCAGCTTGTTACCTATAACGTGAGAAGAACGTAATGAAAGTAAGAAGGTTACCTTTTCGTTTATACGTACATACAATGCGCAGCCTTTGTAATTGATAGCATATAAAAATTCTGCCAAACAAACATATCATTTATTCTAATTTCTAACGAGTTGTTTACACGTTAAGTGACCTTGAAACATAAACTGTAAAGGCTTGTCTCGAAAGCTCGCGCGCGCGCGCGCGAGATAATTATATTTCTACGCAGTGATTGCAGGTAAAAAATACAAAGACTTTGACATTTTAATTGTGTTCTTTGTTCTATCGTTAGCAATGTATACCAATGTACATCCCACCTCCTACTATTTTAATGGCTTCAACATATCGTTGTTTGAAATCAAGTTTTCGATTTTGTAAGATTTCAAATTTTAAATTCTCTAACTCGCGCTGACATCTACCGGGAAGCGTAGCAATTTCACTGGTATATCGAAAATATCGATTCTTTGAAATATATCGAAAACGCTATAGTTTCTTCACTTTCCCGCGTAAACTGCAATGAAAACGTAGAAATTGTTGTGTGTACGTTGGATCTTACAACTGTAGAGAGTTTGCGAGAATATTTGTAAATAATATTGCGTCAAAGCAGTGAAATTAAGCGAAGTAAAAATGGATATTGATCGAGATCAAAGATTAGAGGAAATACAAAGGGAATATATGGATTTTTTAGATGATATGGTGAGTTTCTAATCTTGGAATATCTTACCCGAATATTTTATCCCTTTTTTTTTTTTATTTTAGGAAGATCAAGGTATTTATACCACTCTCGTTAAAAATATGATTGAGGAAAACGGTCGTCGACTGTACGTGAATATCAACGATTTACGAAAAAAGAATCCTGCTCGTGCAGTAAGGTACAAACAATAGTCTGTCCATTTCTGATCTTTTTCAAATGTGTATTAATTGTAATTTTATATTACTTCTCAAATTTATTTTTCAAACATGCAATTTTACATTACTTCTTTGATTCTGATAGATTACTTATCTTTTACATTAGTTACTCTGATTTCATTCTTTTTTTTCTTTCCAGTCTGTTAAACAATTCCTTCGAAGAGCATCAAGCCTTTCAAAATGCATTGAAGCAGTTTGTTGCAAGCATTGACATAGATTACGCAAAAGAGAATGTAGATTGTTTTATAGCATTTGAAGGAAGCTTTGGAAATAAACACGTTACACCAAGGACTCTTACATCACGTTTCTTAGGTAACTTGGTATGTGTAGAAGGTATTGTTACAAAATGTAAGTAAATGTGTTTTGTATCACATTGTCATGTGAATTTTATATATGAAGTTTATTATATTTTGGATCCTGTGAAACATGTATTCTAAACATTATTAGGTTCCTTGGTACGTCCAAAGGTTGTAAGAAGTGTTCATTATTGCAATGCAACAAAAACAGTAATGGAACGTGCTTATACTGACTTCACTTCATTTGAAGCATTTCCACAATCTGCTGTGTACCCAACTACAGTAATTATTTATAATTAATCTGATCATTCAAGAGTAAATATTCTCTACGATATTTCTAATTTCTTGAACATAGGATGAAGATGGTAATCCATTAGAAACAGAATTTGGCCTTTCTACGTATAAGGATCATCAAACATTGACTATTCAAGAAATGCCAGAAAAAGCACCAACTGGTCAATTGCCAAGGAGCGTAGATGTTATATGTGATAATGATTTGGTGGATCTCTGTAAACCTGGAGACAGAGTTCAGGTTGTTGGAAGTTTTAGATGTCTACCTGGTAAACAAGGAGGATATACAACGGGAACTTTCAGGTTTGACAACTAATAAATATAAGTTTTAAAAATAACATTTAAAGTTACTTAAATGGAAAAAACATTCTTACAGATCGATTTTAATCGCTAATAACATTATGCAGTTAAGCAAAGAAGCTAATCTAACTATTTCTCATGATGATGTTGCTATGTGTAAGAAACTTGCAAAAAACAATCCTTGTAAAAATATCTTTGAATTACTTGCTAGATCACTAGCACCTTCCATTCATGGTCATGATTATGTAAAGAAAGCGATTTTATGTTTATTACTTGGTGGTGTTGAGAAATTATTGCCCAATGGTACAAGACTAAGAGGGTAAAGAATATTAAATCGTATACATAATTTTTTGAATTGAAGTAAGATCTAATTATTCATTTCTTTTAGAGATATTAATGTTCTGCTTATTGGCGATCCATCTGTTGCAAAATCACAACTTTTGCGCTACGTTTTGTGTACAGCTCCAAGAGCTATACCAACTACTGGTAGAGGTTCATCTGGTGTAGGTTTAACAGCTGCAGTTACTATAGATAATGAGACAGGAGAACGTCGGCTTGAAGCCGGTGCTATGGTATTAGCGGATCGTGGAATTATTTGTATAGATGAATTTGATAAAATGTCAGATATTGATAGAACGGCTATTCATGAGGTTATGGAACAAGGAAAAGTAACAATTGCTAAAGCTGGAATACATGCTAGCTTAAATGCACGATGTTCAGTGCTGGCAGCAGCAAATCCAGTTTACGGAAGGGTAAATTCTATTACATTGATTAAAAAATTAAACGTAAATTAGTATATATTTGTTTATACGTATATTTTTTTTTCAGTACGATCAATATAAAACGCCAATGGAAAACATTGGCCTCCAGGATTCATTGCTTTCACGTTTCGATTTATTATTTGTCATGTTGGACATTGTGGATTCTGAACAAGACCAAATAATCAGTGAGCACGTTGTTAGAATGCATAGGTATAGAAATCCAAAAGAAAAAGATGGAGAAGCATTACCTTTAGGTAGTAAAGTGGATATATTAAGTACAAAAAATCCAGATCAAATCTTGCCTGATGAAAGTGAAACTCAAGTTTATCAAAAATATGATCCCTTATTACATGGAACATTGCGATCTAGAAGGTATATTTAAAATTGTTATACATTTATATATTTACATGTGTAGTATTTTATGTGATGATAATGTTCTTACAGCGACCAATTATTAACTATAAATTTCATGAGGAAATATATTCATATAGCTCGTTGTATGAAACCAAAGCTTACCGAAGAAGCTAGTGAAGTGATTGCCAGTGAATATTCGAAATTACGATCTGAAGAATCAATAGATTCTGATGTAGCAAGGGTATATTATTTTGTTCATTACTTATTTTATTTAATCAAGTTTTTTTTTCATTTATTTCCTCATTAACTTTTTATCATTTCCTACTAGACTCAACCAGTAACAGCCCGTACTTTGGAAACATTAATTCGATTGGCTACCGCGCATGCAAAAGCTCGTTTATCAAAAAACGTTACTGCAGATGATGCACATGCAGCAATAGAATTGGTAGAGTTTGCCTATTTCAAACGAGTTTTAGAAAAAGAAAAGAAAAAACGACGACGACACGACAGTGAAGAAAGTATAGGTGGAGACGAGCAGAATGAAAAGAAGAAGAAACGTAATAAGACAACTTCGGGGGAACAAGATCCGTATGATTTTGAAAGTGATGATGACAGTCATATTGACGAAGCTGCCAAAAGAATTACTAGATCGCAAACGAAAACAACTGATTCAAGTCAACCAGATTCTGATCAAACTGAAACTCCTGCACAGTCAGAAACTCCTGCAACTATTACCGAAGAAAGGTATGTTTAAATTGTTTTTACATTGTTGTTTGTTGGATGTTGGATTTGTGATATAATTGTGCTATAATTTCAGGTTAAAAGTTTTTAGAACACTTCTTTATAAGTTGTTCCAACAACAAAGAGCACAGTCACTTTCATTATCAAGAGTACGCGAATATATTAATAGTCAACAAAGTCAAGAATTCACATCAAGTGAGATTACTGCTGCAATTAATAAAATGTCTGATGCAAATCAAATTATGGCCGCCGATGATAATATCTTTCTTATGTAAAATATATTTGAAATTGTAAGTTACTCTGTACTTTTTACATTAAGTAGGATCTGTAAATTTGCTATGAAATATTTTAGCGGATGTCCAAATTTCGATTAAATTATACTTCTAAATTTATATTACATGTATAGGTATTTCATAGATTTTATATTTTTATAACTGAAAATTCATAAGAATGTCTAACTCTTTTTTCTTAAAATAAAGGAGAGTCTGATATGGTTGGAAATAATTAATCTATCAACATTTATTATCTCTCCATATTACAGTACAGCACATTGGCACGTAAACTAGCAACAGTGATCAACATTCATTACAATACCGTAAACAATATTGTTTACATCTCTAAGTCTTTGTTTTGTATGTATGTGTGTATATATATATATTTATTTATTTATTTATTTATATAAAATCAACTCATATCACATAGATATAAATAGTTGTGCTGTCTCATTTAAATATATATATATATATATATTTAATGTTTAGGCATTTTTTTACACATAACTTCTTTTATTCACGTTTTCACACCGTTTAAAAAATCTTTTACTTTGTAACATCATAAATTTTCACTGTATACTAGCTGTCATAAATTTTCGCAATTGTCATGATCATATCATTGGTACTCTTAGAATCGTTCACTCGTTTAAAAAAAAAATCCTTGCTGACTAATATTCAATTTCATATTATCATATTGTTTGAAATCAAACTATGTTCATTTGTATTTGTACGTCTAATACCATTTAATTTGAATATATGTCGATTATATTGTTTTTCCATACGCGTAATTTGTGTAATTAAATTATCGTTGAGTGTACCAAATTCTTCAGATTTTACTATATATCTATAATTATAACAAAAAAAGTAGTACAATATTTATAATCAGCTACTTTCTTATTATTATAATACAGGCCTTCAGGACGTAATGTTTCTATTGAAAATGAACAAATTTCGTCAAATTTCCTTTTGTTCACGTTCGATATATATCAAATCTTTAACAACTAAATCGTTTCCGTTATTTAAAAAATCGTCACTCAAATTCATTGTACTCATATTTGTTCTCGGTAACGTTGATTTCATTAATCTTAATTAGCACTTCCATGGCTTAATGTTTTTTTTTTTTTTTTTTTTTTACTGTATAAAACCTACTGTATCTAATTCTGTAATTCTGTACAAATTTCACATTTCAACATCAATAACTGGCACAAAATATGTATAACACAATCAACAAATTATCTTTAATGTATCTAAAAATACGCTGATACAATCTACAAAACATTAATCTATATAGAACCTGAGTATTTGCAGTAGCCAACCGAGGCATGAGGGAAAAAGTGAAAAAAACTTCTGTTTAGAAAAAAAAAAAAAAAACCAAATAACGATAAAATCTAAAAATAAAAATTGTATAATACAATTCCCTCGTGCAGTATAAAATAACGTTTCTTTTGTTATTTCGATACAGCATTGCAAAATTTTCTATCAAAAAATAACGATTAGAAATGAATATAAATTATTTTTCTACACATACACTTTTTAGTTTGTAAACAACGACGTAGAAAATAAGATTTCAAAAATATGCAAAAGAAAGAATTCTACTCAGAAAAAAATTTTTTTTATAAATTATAATTATATAATATTTTTATATAATTACAGGAATTGTACCTTCTCTTCTATGTGCTCCAAAGTGCTTTTTCTTATGCCTTACTTTTAATGCTGGTGTTTCAGGCACATGCTTATATTTTTCTAATTTTTAATCTTCTTGGAGACAAGTAAAAATGAATCATACGCAACGAACAGTGAAATACAAATCGTATTTATGCATGCGCTCCATTTTTACACTGCGCCACTTTTAATTTATACTTGTTGGAAATGTGAGTTTGCTTAAACTTCGTCTTCACTGGACTCACTGCTGTATGCTAACTGTTCCTTCCACCATTCTCGAACCTCTAGCATAACATTAGAAGGTTTTGGTACAGTTGCTTTTGCATTGACTACTTCCCGCTGCTGTCTGCTTTGCTCAGTGCTCTCTGTGAGATGTGGCAAATTATTTTTCGGCACCGCTTCAAATGGAAAGCTCACGTTGGAGAAAAGCACAATGAGAAAGGTACAGATATAAAGTGAAAAAAAAAAAAACTATGCTTACGTGGTGGCCTGTTATTTTTCTTCTTGGGTGCTGCATTCTTATCTTTTTCAGTCCTGATTGAAGCAGGATCCGACAGTGTTGGAGTTAAATATTTTCTTCCTGATCCACTACCTATACTATCAGATCTTGGAAGCACTACTGGTTTCTTTGCTTTGTGCCTGGCAGCATCAGTATCCTGCTTGGTAATAACGAGTTAACGATTATTAAAAAATTGTGTACATTGACATTGATTAACTAAATAAGAAAACTTACCTTTGTTTCAGTTTCTTCTTCTTTGACGGCCTCTTTGCCTTTCTCTTCTACATGCTCCTGCTGTTGTGCTTGTTCAGTGTTGGCGCGAAGGCCGGCGACGAGACTATTTTGTTGCTTCTGTAATGTGCAAAATATCAATTACATTTGATCCTGTGCGAATTGCGATCGAGTAAACTTACTCCACTTGCACGTATTTTTTTCAGGCAACCCTCTAGCCAGTTTCTGATCGTTTGCTTAGCAACTTCTTCTTCGATGATATATTCGAACTCTTCTCTTGCCAATAACTCTTCGAGTTGAAGAGCTTTTCGGATGTCAACCGAACGGTAGGATAACATACTGAAAAGGAAAACATTCAACCGGTAAAAAATTCTTTTGAGCAAGCAAATGACGTTTGTTTATATGACGAGAATACTTACTTGATAACATCATGAAAGGTAACATCTTCGCCATTGTTCAACTTCTCCAGTTCATAGCACATATGTTTGAAGAGAAGTCGATCCTTCTGCGGATCGGTTTCCAATCTACCTTTCAATAATCGTAAAATAAACTTCACCTAAAACAAACTAATATATCATTACTTCTAGCCTAATTTATAACAGCCTGTTAGCAGCTGGTGGATAAATCTTTTTTTCTAGCCGTACCCGTTTCACAGGTATAAAACCTTTCTGATGATTATCAACAACGTTCCATGTGTTCTGAAAATTTCTAATATCAGCATAAGATAACAAAGCATCTTCTTCGTTGGAATAGAATAGAGAAAAGTTCTCCATAATAATAGCTGTTGTGAAAAATTAGTATTGGTGAGAACGTCGATGAATTATTCTGGTAATAAGACAAGCAGTGTATGTATATCTGTACAGAAGAATCGGTTGACACTTACCCACTAAAAGATTTAAAACAATGTAAGTGATAATGACGTAGAAGGTACAAAAATATATTAAGGAAGCATGAAAGTTGCCGCAATCGGTTTCCCAATAATTAGCAGCTGGTGTGCAATACGGTGGTTGTATCATGCAATCGTGCATTATCTTATTCCAATCCTCCCCGGTGACAATACGGAAGAGCATCGCAACGCCAGTTACAGGTGACTCAAAATTGGCACGCCTAGATGACAATCGTCTCTCTTAAGATCACATTTAGAACAAGAGAAATGCCTGCGCCGTTTTTAATTAACTTTATGTAATGTTGAACTTTAACGTTAACAATCGTTTGTCTCACCGGGATAGAAATACGTAGTATTACCTTCCTATACCTTCACCGTACTTTACAGTTCCAAAGATGATCGTGCCGGCTAACGCGTAAAAGAAAACAAGGAGAAACATGCCAAATATAATGAAGAAACTTTTGCAAACGGATACTCCGACCGTTAACATCAACATTTTCAGTGTTGTATGTTTGCCAGTAATAGTGAAGAATCTAAGAATCACGACCATAAAGCCGATTACGTATGACAAATCGTTCTGCAAGAAAGGTACATTCCCGTCATTACACAATAATTTCAAAATTATTCACGAAAACGCTGAATCGATCAGATGGCTGGATAATAATATTATATAATAATATTATACCGACCTACCTTCATTGTACAATGAATGACGATCCAAATAACACCGACGACTGTCACGAGCAAATCATATCTGTTTCTTCTGGACTGCCAATAGCCACGTGGTGTAAAAGCAATATTTTTCATAATTACTTCCACGAGGAAGATGAGTGTCAGAATCGTGGACACCGTAGCGAGTGCTTCCGTGTGTTCCTCCTCGATTCTCCACTTAACGGTTGGGGGGGAGGAAGGAAAAATAAATAAAGATTCGTTAAACGCAAAAGCTTGTGTCGATTTACTTTTACCACGGTCTAATGGTAGCCGGCAAGGAACAAATGATTCTAAGTAACAGTCATAGAATCCTGTGCTTTCGCGGGTGTGTTCTTTCTCTCTCTCTCTCTCTCTCTCTCTCTCT